TTTAGCGTGTGACAACGAGAGAATAAAACGAACCTTGCACATGAAGCACAATAAACATAATTAAAACATTTCCACGTGCTATGTGATGGACCGGCTGGAGGGACAGGACCGTATTTTGCCTTTCTTTGAACCTTGTGCTGTGAAGTAGAATAAAACATATACTACATAATTATGAAATTTTGAGAACTGGACATGAAATATAATATATCACAAAAGTACAACACGTGTTTTCCTTTACAATTGCTTCTTCAGGCGTGTTCATACTGATTAAATTCTACCTAAAAGTACTTTATATAATATAGTAATTTGAATCATATGACCTACCTACCTACCTAATGGCATATAATTTTACCGGAGCTTAGTTATAAACTAATTACAAATTTAAACATTAAAAACACCATAAATTAGTTGCTTTGAATATCCAACTGTCAGAAAGAATTTTCAGAGAGCACTGACAGATATCAAACAAATTGCTGTCAGCAATGCTTACAAGGTAGTTACTATCAACTCCATTTTTTCAAATTATTTCCAAAAAACTACGATAACAAACCATTTGCCAGGTCTGTTTCACTTCCAGAAACGATAATAAGCGTCATAGGACATTTATATAGGTATTTTGGTGAACTCTCCAATGACATCGCTCATTTTTAAAAAGAAAAACTTGGACTTGGCTTATAGAACAAATTATAATTTAAGCAAATTAATTTAATAATAAAACAATAAAGACAAAACTTTATTTGATTTGAAAGGGATATATTTTTAGGAGTGATTAATTTTTGGGAAAGAAAGTTTTTGGCTTTCTACTACTCCATCTGATACAAGAAAATGGGATGAGAGAATCTTCCAAAGAAAGGAAAGAAGTAATCAATTTGAAACTCTATACATGAATGTGTAGATCATGCAAAGAAGTAACTTTCAGACACAAACTGAAAGAAAGTCCTCCTGAAACAGCTACTTTCATATAAACATTGAATTACACGAAAGAAAATAATTCTTTCGAAACAAATACTTCTATATGAACACTGAATTATACAGAAGATACTTTTCTCTACTCAGTTTAACATTTGTTGAGGAATAAGAATCAGATATCATTCACATGAGTTCTACTTTGAATAAATGGTAATAAATTGTACTCACATGGAACACTGTCACCCTACACTGAATGACCAACAGGAAGTTAACCACTCACCATTGGTGAGTCAATAATATGTACTTTGTAACTGTTGTTGACAACAATTCGTTGGGAAAAAACTCCAGTAATATTCATTACTACACCAAAGGTGTAGTAATGAATGAAATATTTCAATGAAATATTTTTGTTTATTGCTTTCTGAAAATGAAATATTCAATAGTCTGTGGAGCATACAATTGAATGTTACTAAATGCTGATATGGATCTGTCGATAAATTATATATTGTGAAGTCTGGTTTGTGGAAAATCATGTCTATTATTGATTTTAGTGATAGTCAAGTCTGGAAAATTTATTGTGCTATGTATCTTCATCCCTCACTGAACTGTGATCAGTGGTTGAAAACAGACAAGTGGTCCCAGGAAGTAAAGGGTAAATTATCACCGGTGGACACGTTTGGCTCAAAGTGTTAATACTTTCATTATATTTCTCATATTGAATTTAGGAAAATAGATTTGATTACTACTATACTTTTTTTGTTAGAATAAATTTGCATTTTGTATTTTGTTGCTAAGTCGTTTAGAACTTTCTACAGTACAATGCAAATGTATGGAGTAAATTCAATATTTAAAAAATAGGCGTCTTTTGGAAAGGACCCAAAAAAACATGTCAACTTTAAATTTTGATAGTCAATCTCATGATATACATATGAGAGATGTTTCGTCAACATTGTTGGTGTGATGACGTAGTCGACAATTTTTTTCAATGCAATGTTGTGTCTTTGAGTTGTGTATGCTTTTTCAAAATTGAAGGTACTGACATTTGTTTAAGAAAATAGCCAAGTGATTGAAACTTTGCACCAGTCATGTTGAAATTTTTATAGCATATAAGTATAGTATAATATAGTATATAGCACACATATAGTATAAGTAAAAATGTATCAGAAAAGTTTAACTCCATGATGAGTTTGTTATGTATACATGAATTGATGACAATTAACCGAACTTGTTTTTTAAAATAAAGGGGATATCTGTCAAAAATAAGCAAAACGTTAACTTTATCCTAGTTACATAAAATTTGGCATATGGATATAAAATTGCTGTAACTTTTTGTTAAATTCGATCTAGAAATGCACTTTTTCAATTTTTTTCAAAAAAAAAGTTGAATTTGACAAACACTGAACGTCAGTGGCTCGCAGTTGGCCGCATCATTTTAAGTTAAATTTAAAGCACAAACAAGTGTCGAAGTTAAACATCATTGAAACTTTTCGAAAAAAAAGTTTCCCATATGGTGCGCACTTTATTGGTGACTCTGTATGTCAGAGCGTTCCATCATGATTTTGCAGAATTCGATTCCTCTGTCAAAGTCATCTTCTAACTGTTCTTGAACCGGATAAACTTAATACGGATGCCACTTTTCTTTTTTCAACACTGTAGCAATAGTCAATTGGTATAATTATTATCTAGTGCGACTTGCCTTGAGCTGGTATGGGGGTTTTCTTGGAACACAAGTACCACGTAAAGTTTTTGGGCTTCTGAAATTGATTTTCTACCACTTTTAGATAGGTCTTTAACATGGTCCGTTTCTCGAAACTTCATCTCAATTTTACTAATTGTTGATTGAGAAACGGGTCCTCGGTTGGGGTATTTAGTATTGAATAAGCATCTCCACAGCCAATCATAATTAAAATTTCGATTCGTTTGGTTTCTGTAAGTCTCATTGTCAGATTATAAGTGACTCAAATATCTTTATAGAAATAATATCAAACGCTTCAATGACGCTTAACTTCAATAACATCTACTAATTTCAATCAATGCATTTCTTTTTCTGAATTAACAAAAACAATAGTACTCACCACGATGTTTTATTCTCAGTGGCGGTCCTTAGCATAATTTAGGTCAACAAATGAGTATTTACTGTAATTTCATCCATCTAAATACATAATTTCGGATGACCCTGTATTAATACATATTGAAACCATTATACCGTTGAATAGACGAATAGTGGACCTTTTGAATGAGGTGCCACATGACCCCTGTTTGTATTTAAAAAAAATTGTAGATTACGTCATCACGCCAACACCGGTGACGAAACGTCTCTCATATGTATATCATGAGATGGACCGTCAAAAATTAAAGTTGGAATGTTTTTAGACGTCTTTCAAAAGACGCCTATTTTCTAAATATCGAATTTATTCCATACATTTGCACCCTAATGTATATAAATGTCATTGCTGAATAATGAAATTAAAATTATTTAACATGAAACTAATACTTGAACTACATTTTAGAATTATACAGGAATACCGGAATTCCTCTAATTTTGCAGACAACAAATATTGACTCAAATCTATATAAAATGCTCTCACAGTAATTCAAATGTGATCAATTCATTTTAGACATTTATTTTTGTGTACATGCATATATATTCTGTTTTTTTTTGGAATTTTTTTGTATAGATATTTGAAATGAGAATTTAAAAAAAAGCAACTGCCTAGCATACATCTCTGATGTGTAACTTTCTTGATGCTAAGTAATCATCTGTTTTATTTTATGTATTGATAATATAATTTCATTCGTCGGCTGCCATGTTGAGATCAGAGTATTATTAACTGTGAACAAATGAACAAAAATCGCACGAATGAAAGAATCCAAATGAACTATTCGATTGATGTTTACAAACTTTCACTTTATGCAACTTTTTTTCTGCTGATTAGGTGGCCTTTAAACCAATTATAATAATTTCATTTTATTTTGATTTGAATTATGAAAGTATGGCTGCTTCAACAGTGCTGAAGTAATGGTACTATTACTTGAATACATTTCGATAAATATATGATTTACTGTCTGTGAAAATCCGTTATTCCTGTAAACAGCCATCGCCCCTTTTCTACAAACGACCATCCTCAGAAGTGGAAACGCGGAAGCTAAGGATTAACGAGATTGGATGATACACAGGAAATATTGATCGTTCAAACGTAGGGCTCAAACCATATAGTGGTCGATGGAATGAGTAGACACGACTTTTTCAAGTAACTGTTTGTTAAATTCGATCTAGAAATGCACTTTTTCAATTTTTTTCAAAAAGAAAGTTGAATTTGACAAACACTGAACGTCAGTGGCTCGCAGTTGGCGAGCCATCTACCATCCCACTTGTATTAATTTTGGTATGACAGCGGTAATTTGCTATTTAAATTTTTGGGCAAAAAGATTGAAAGTGATTTACCCAATGGCAGCTGAATGGTTTCATTTATTTCTACCATCATTTATAAGTGTTGCAATTTCTTCAGTTCCCTATACTAAGTTGTAAATGTTAATAGACAAGGACTGAATAAAGCTCTACAAATATTGATCGGCCCATTTTTAAGAGCATATTTCTGCATCAAGAAAGATCTGTTTATATGTATCAAATTGAAGGACTAACTGGAGAAACTTTGTTATAGTACTTTGTTGTGCTTTCTTTTCACTGTCTTCTTTATATTTCTCAAAGATTGAGTCATTCAGTTTATTTTCTTGTTTCCTTAATTTCTTATTATCCATCCACAAGAAAGTGTTGTATTATGAATACACTGACTTGATGAAAATTATTAACACTATCCATGGTGATAATTATACAATTTTCACAAAGTTTTTTGTTTAATATACGTTTTGCTACGCAGTAGCTTTGTCAGTTGGACTAACATTAGTTAGACTGATGAAGTTACTGTGTAGCAAAACACACCTTAAATAAAAAAAAATGTGAAAATAATAACTATTATGGATGGTAAATTTTGTAACAGAAAACAGGTCGTTCCTGTATTTACCAATCTATATTTTCATTATTTATATCTGAAATTTTTGTAGATCCGGTACTAATCAGCGATTTTTTATAGGTGTGAATCTCCTCATAGGCACAGAACACGGACTTATGCTTTTGGATAGGAGTGGTCAAGGTAAAGTGTACCAACTAATATCAAGAAGGAGGTTTCAACAGATGGAAGTACTTGAAGGTCAGAATATTCTTGTTACGATATCAGGGAAGAAGAATAGAGTTAGAGTGTACTATCTCAGTTGGCTGAAGAGTAAAATATTGAGGACAGATGGTGTTAGTGATGTGAGTGTAGATCTTTTGTTATATTATTTTATTGGAATTCGTTCCAGTACCCTAACTTTTTATCCCCCAGATTAATTCATTTATATCTCCGATCAAATATATTTTCATAAAATCTAAATGAAGAAAACCCATTGCAGAACTCTTAGCAATATGTTCAAGCATTAAAAAAGGTAATATTTCATACAATGACAATGATTCCGCCACACGTACCTACAAAGTCGTAGGTCTACATGAGAGGCAAGGGGTAAGGTGTTTTCACCTGAACCTGGAGCATGCACCTCTCCGGAATACTAATCATTATTCAGACTCCCACCCCGAAGTATGTTGTCTAACGGTTGCTCGTATCGACCAAACGAAATTAATTTTTGCGTTTCATAGTGGGAAATGACTTGCGACGATTCATCCAAATCGAAGACATTACACAGGTGCCTGATGTTTTTACTTCAACTACCTGCGCGGCATTACCTGGGTTAGTTGTTGTTTTTCCATCAGTTCGGACTTCCATTGTCTAATATAATATAAATTGATTTGAAATCCCTGAAAGAATCTGTAAAAAAATTTAAAAAGATTAAA